TTATTATTATTATTATTATTATTATTATTATTATTATTATTATTATTATTATTATTATTATTATTATTATTATTATTATTATTATTATTATTATTATTATTATTATTATTATTATTATTATTATTATTATTATTATTATTATTATTATTATTATTATTATTATTATTATTATTATTATTATTATTATTATTATTATTATTATTATTATTATTATTATTATTATTATTATTATTATTATTATTATTATTATTATTATTATTATTATTATTATTATTATTATTATTATTATTATTATTATTATTATTATTATTATTATTATTATTATTATTATTATTATTATTATTATTATTATTATTATTATTATTATTATTATTATTATTATTATTATTATTATTATTATTATTATTATTATTATTATTATTATTATTATTATTATTATTATTATTATTATTATTATTATTATTATTATTATTATTATTATTATTATTATTATTATTATTATTATTATTATTATTATTATTATTATTATTATTATTATTATTATTATTATTATTATTATTATTATTATTATTATTATTATTATTATTATTATTATTATTATTATTATTATTATTATTATTATTATTATTATTATTATTATTATTATTATTATTATTATTATTATTATTATTATTATTATTATTATTATTATTATTATTATTATTATTATTATTATTATTATTATTATTATTATTATTATTATTATTATTATTATTATTATTATTATTATTATTATTATTATTATTATTATTATTATTATTATTATTATTATTATTATTATTATTATTATTATTATTATTATTATTATTATTATTATTATTATTATTATTATTTTATTTTATTTTATTTTATTTTATTTTTTTTTTAGACGCTTTTTAATTGTAAAGTAAAAGTGACTGCCGCGAAAATTTTAAATCGAAAATGTATGTTTTTTATAAAAATGTTTCCGTCCATTCAGAGTCTATTAAGCTTATTTATATACATATATGTATGTATGGCATACGCAAATGAATTTCGTAGTTGAACGCCACAAATGTTTATCACACATTCAATGGGCGTGGACTTTGCTGCCAGCTCGAACTCCGCAGAAAGTTTTAAAAAATAAATAAAGATTTATAACCTAATGCAAATTTTTTAAACTTCATTATAATGTTTCCATTCGTGTTATGCCCGTTAAGCTTATTTATATAAAGAAATGGCAAACGCATGTAAATATAAATAAGTCTAAAAAATTTAAAACTTACAGGATACTCAAAGCCTACAAAAAAGCATTGAGGAGGTTGCTAAATATCCAAAGTTAAATCTTTTAAAGGACATACAGTGTGCGTCACTAAAAATCGAACAAAATTATTGGCACAGCAAGCTTTTTAAACTTTAAAGCAATTTTGTAATTGTTTTCTAACGTTTTTTAGTGAAACAAATAAAGTACTAAATAGAATTGGGTATTTATAATATTTTACAGTAAAAATATTGCGAAAAACTTCAACGCACTTTTTAAAAAAATTCAATAACCAAAAATAAACCTCGATTTTGCTGAACAAAATTATTGGTACACTAAAAACAAAAAATTAAAAATGTTATGAAAAAATTTGATAATAACTATAATTAACATTGGGTATGTATCCTTTAAAGTTTAATAATGGCTAATAATAGGTTTGGCATCGAAAAAATTATTTTCACTAATTTTTTGCCATTCCTCAATAAGAGCTTGTTTTAGGTCGTCTTCTTTTGTTATTACTCGATTTGAGATGCGCCTATCCAATTCTTTCCACAAGCGTTCAATTCTATTTAGGTCTGGAGATAGTGGTGAGTGCGGTAACACATGGGCGGTAGCCATATTTTGACGATATGGGCAGAATGCTTGGGGTCATTGTCATGTTGAAATGTGAACGAGCTTGGTAGTTGTAGCTTTTCAGAATTCTTTTAAAGGTTATCACTCAAAATATTTAGATACAAATGTTTGTCCATTATACCGTCTACAAATACCAATTCGGGCACACCTGCAGCAGATATGCAATGCCAGACCATTACCCCACAACCACCATGCTTAACGCTTGGCGTAATTTTGATTTTGTGAAACGAAGTATTCGGCATTCTCTAAGCAGTTTAACGCCCATCCGATCGAAATATATTGAATTTCCACTCATCACAGAAGAAGACTTGACTTCAATAATCAAATGGTTTGCTAAAATTTTCCTTTGCTTAGTCCAAACGCTTCTTTTTATAAGCACCTTTAATGCACGGTTTTCGTCTAGCCACATGCACTTTGTATTTGGCCTTGTGCAGTACTCTTCGTATCGTAATCGGGTGCATATCGTTGCCCATTTCTTTTGTAACTTCAGCAGAAATCTGTGTAGATATTATTTTGGGATTCACATGCACCTTTCGAACGATTTTCCAGCATTCATGGCTGCTCAACAACTTAAGGCGACCTGTATGTTTATGAACGTTGCAGATTGTGGGCTTCCTTGGAGCGCCGCACGTAGCTTCGAATAGAAAATCGGTTTCTTTCTATTATCTCTCTAGTTTATGCATAAAATTTGCCTTGATCATCCAAATGCAGGATCATTTTCCTCTGAGCTATCGATGTCTCTTTTAGCTTAGGTGCCATTATTATGAAAAGTAAAGAAATATGCTCAATTCTTACAAAATTTTCTATATTTAAATTCAATTTTGCGAAGTTTTAAATAAAGAAACAACATATAGTGAAATGCAAAATGGTTTTGCACACTCGGTCAAATTGTTAAAAAAAAACCCAAAAAATACTAAGTGTGCCAATAATTTTGTTCAGCAACATTTAGGTTCTTTTTGGTTATTTAATTTTTTAAAAATGTACGATGAAGTTTTTGGGAATATATTTTTTTTTTTATAATTTAAAAGATCCCCTATTCTATTTTGAAATTTGGAACACATACTCGTGTATCCGATTTATAAAGTGTTAAAATTTTCCCGATCCGCCCACTAGGGGCGTGGCAAATCGGAAAATGCATTTTCCGATATGCCAGAAATCATATTAGTTGAAAAGCTAGAAAGCTGAAATTTGGTATGTTGGTCCGCGTTGACCACCCTAGATCACGAGCTATGGCGGATATATATCCGCCCATTGGGGGCGTGGCAAATCGGATAGAGCTGTATCTCCAAGAGTTTTACAGCTAGAGCGCTGAAATTTTGCACGTCAGCTAATGTTAATGTTAATCAAATTTTGTATATATACTCGGGCTGATTATCCAAGACAAACAAGTTTTGTCGGATATATGTCCACCCACAGGGGGCGTGGCAAACCGCAAAAGTTGATTTCTCCTAAAGTATAATGGCTAGAAGCTTCAAATTTAGATAGTTAAGTTACCTCTATCGATGACTCAAAAATCATTTTTACGCCTCTTTAGGGCGTGGCATATCGAAAAATACCCTGTAATTTTCACATTTTTTGAGGGTTAGCATTTGCAGTTAGGGTACCGTTATCACGTTCTAAGAACTGATCAAAAATGAGGTGTCTATGCCCAGTAGGGGAGTGGCAAATCGAATAAAACTATATTTTCTACAGTATTAGGGCGAAACTTTACTAAATTGTTGATGAGATGTGAATGAGTATTCCGCAGTCGTTAACGCCCGACTGCAACGTTCTTATTTGTTTAAAATAGTGTTCGAAGCACTCTTCTGACTAACGTTCTTTTTATACCCAGAACCCATAAAAAAGGGAAATCAGAGTATAATGGTTTTGTGAAAAGTATGTAACACTTTTAGACCTGGAGACTTCAAATTTGCGTTGTATATAAAGTTAATGGATACAAAGATTTTGTAATTTACAGATTTTTCGCCACCAATTTGTAAAAAGCGTATTTCAAGTACTACTCATTAAGATTGTATATCTAAAATTCTCATAATATTGCCCACATTGCAGCGCAGTCAGCAGAACGCGTGCTTGTAAGTGCATGTGTATGTATGTGTACATAAAGGAAGTACAGAATGATTAGAATATCAGATTAGAGGGTTCAGGGCATCTTCTAGTCGAGCAGTCTCGACTGGAGCCTTCTTACTTGTTTAAATATATTTTAAGCTCCTTGTTAATTTTTTGGACGGACTTCAAGGCAATTTGTTTTATTTGTCGAACTATCCACCTTGCATGGTTTTCTGTTAACTTGGTATTTGCCTGAACTTTTAATTTACTTTAGACTGTACTGTTTGTTTTAATTCATTTTATGATATACTAAATGGTACTTCGAGGTCTATTAAGGATTTCAACTATCTCAGTATAACTTTTTCCATTATTATGATGGAAAATAGCCAGCACGCGCTTCTTAGAAGATGTCTTCTTCATGGCTTTTAAGTGAAGATTTTAAATTATTTAAATTTAGCGGAAAATCACTAAAGACACCCCCAGCTACATTCTCAGCTAAGCTCAATTGGAAAAGCTGTACGATTTTCAGTGACACTACATTTTCGTATAGAAAAAAGGCTGTTTTATGAACATTATATTAAATCTTTTTGTACAACCTACCTTTTAAAAAATATTTTGTACAAAAATGTTGTTTACTTTAGGAGTTAAGAGCTACATTTTAAAGTCTTATTAGCTTTACGACTTTTAATGACGCACACTGTGTTAAATTTTTCGGTTTACCACGTTCCCTGTGGGATTAGATCCGCTCCTAGTGCGCAGATTTGTAATCGATATTTATAGAATCGTAATTTTAACTACCGTGCGAGCGTTCTAGCTTTAAATCTGTATAAGGTACAGTTTTACTCGATTTCTTTCTCCCATATCTTTTTGATCTTGGGTGGTCAACGCAAGTATACAAACCTACAAAGAGGTTCTATTTCAATTACTCTACTTTTTTGATGAACGAGTAGCAATATACAATTTAATTGTTTTAGTTAATGAGAAAACATATATACGGGTAACTTAAATTGAAAATAATGATCCTTATATCGACTATATTAAGTCAATATATAATGTGCCTTACCATTTAAAACAACGAAATTCAAAGTAAACGATTCCAAGACCGTATAAAAAGCTATGGTTATTCCAATATTTTGGACATAGCCGCATATACTTTTGATACGCAGATAGAGCTAGAAAGAAAAAAAATTGCATATTCTTTTAATTTATTTATATTGTGTAAATAGGTAATTTAATATAACGAAATTATACAAATTTATAGAAAACAAGTAAGAACGTTGCAGTCGGGCGTTACCGACTGCGGAAAACTCATTCACATCCCATCAACAATTTAGTAGTTAAGTTTCGCTCTAATACTGTAGAATATACAGGTTTTTCCGATTTGCCACGCCCCAACTGGGCGTAGACACCTCATTTTTGGTCAGTTTTTAGAAAGAGATAAAGGTACCCTAACTGCAAAGTTTGAATGCTTACCCTCAAAAAATGTGAAAATTACAGGGTATTTTTCGATATGCCACGCCCCTAAAGAGGCGTAAAAATTATTTTTGGAGAATCGATAGAGGAGGCTACCAGTAACTCAACTATCCAAATTTGAGCTTCTAGCTATTATACTTTAGGAGATATAAACTTTTGCGGTTTGCCACGCCGCCTGTGGGCGGACATATATCCGACAAAACTTTTTGGTCTTGGGTGATCAGTCCGAGTATATATTTATTCTACCTTAAACTCTATTCTGGATGTTTGTGTCCCTCTCCGCCGTATTTCGCCAGTTTCAAATAAGCCACCTTGGTTCACCAAAACTCTTTCGAACTTGAGAAACATTAAAACTAAATGTTTTAAAAATTACAAAAAGTCTGGTTCAAGTATTGACTGGTCCAAATATTCCATTGCCAAGTCAAATTTCAATCTTTTAAATTCTAGCTGTTATGAGAATTATCTTACACGTTGCAAACGTCAGTTTACTCGTGATCCCAAACAATTTTTCTCATTTGTAAACTCGAAGCGTAAATCCTCTGGTTTGCCGTCCTCATTTGTCCTTGGAGGTGAAAAAACATGCAATGATCAGGATTCCTCTGATCTATTTGCTGATTTTTTCAATCCACTTATTCTTCTGCTGATCTCTACAGCAACTCATATCCTTATTCTCTTCCTGAATATGGATCTATAAATACTCCCAAAGTTACTGCATCCTCTCTGGCTGCAGCCATTAAGACATTGAAATCATCTTTCTCTCCTGGTGCTGATAATATTCCTAGTTGTGTGATTAAAGAGTGCAGTGTTTCTCTTCAGTCACAATTACTAAAATTGTTTAACTTGTCCTTGGATACTTCTGTGTTCCCTTCAATTTGGAAAGAATCTTTCATCATTCCCTTATATAAAAAAGGTGGAAGATCTGATATTTCCAATTATAGAGGCATTGCGAAATTATCTGCTATTCCGAAGTTATTTGAGAAAATCATAACATCGGCCTTGCAGCATTTTTGCAAATCGATTATTCAACCATCTCAACATGGTTTTGTTCAAAATCGATCTACGTCCTCTAATTTACTTGAGTTCACGTCGCTTGTTAATGACAGCTTTTCCAAAAAAATGCAAACCGATGTTATTTATACGGACTTCAGTAAAGCATTTGACTCAGTACATCATTACATACTAATTCTTAAGCTTGAACGCTTAGGATTTTCACCCAGTCTTGTCTCTTGGATTTCATCCTATTTAACGGGTAGAACCCAAAGAGTCTTGCTGAGAACAGCTATGTCTAAACTTATCTTTGTTTCGTCTGGTGTACCTCAGGGTAGCCATTTGGGCCCATTGCTCTTTTCCCTTTTTATAAATGACCTTCCTAGTTGTATCTCGTATTCCACTATATTTATGTATGCTGATGATGTAAAACTTTGCCTTCCATACTCCAGGGCAAATGGACATCTTCACCTTCAAGATGACCTAAATGCATTTCAACTTTGGTGTGTGGCAAACCAGCTTGACCAAAATTGCTCAAAGTGTATGACAATGACCTTCAGTCGTACCGTTCCTCTAATTGTTGATTATAAAATTAGCAATAATTCCTTACAACGCATCTTTACAGTCAAAGATCTTGGTGTATTCTTTGACTGTAAACTTAACTTTAATCTTCATATTTCTACCATAATTAATGAAGCAAAAAGTGTGCTTGGCTTTATTAAACGTTGGTCTAAGGAATTTAAAGATCCTTTTATTACCAAGCGCTTATTTACTTCGCTTGTGCGTCCTATCCTAGAGTATTGTTCTGTCGTATGGTCTCCGCAACATAAACTGTATCAGGATCGTATCGAATCGGTCCAAAAACAGTTTCTTCTCTTTGCCTTAAGAGACCTTAGATGGGACAGTAATTTACGATTACCGTCTTATCATAGTAGGCTCCAGCTAATTGATCTTCCATGTCTAACCAATCGCAGAACAATTTTAGGAATTGTTTTTCTGCATAAATTGATTAGTGGTGATATTGATTCGTCGTCTTTGTTGGGTCGTCTAAATTTTTTGGTTCCGTCCCGAGCAACTAGACACTATCGTCCGCTTCATTTACCTGTGTGCACTAGGGATTATTCTTTGCACAGTGCGTTTCATGTTCTTTGTGTTAATTTTAATAAATATTATCACGTTTTTTCCTTAGAGCTCTCTCCTCCTAAAATAAAAAGTGTACTATCAGCTTATCTTAGGGAAATCACTCACAATGCCCAGGCATAAGCATTGGCATACGTTTTTGCTGCTAATGTTGTGTTAGTGATTTCTCAATTCTATTCTTATACTCTATTTTTGGCTCTTCCATTACTCTTTTCTTTTTATTATTTCTTATTCTTTTTATTAACTTTTCTTGCAACTTCTCTTATTACCGGCCTTTTTCTTTTTCTATACTTTATCTCTTCTTATTTTATTCTTTTTTTCTTTTTTTTTATTATTGTTTTTTTTTTAACTCCTTTTATTTATTTATTTATTTTATTTTATTTTATTTTTTTTATTATTATTATTTTTTTTTTATTTTTTATTATTATTTTAAAAATTATTTTAAGTATGCTAAATATTGTTTAATAACCTACATTTTAATATTTTATTTTTTTTAAGTTTTCTTACTAACACTTTCTTTTCATAGCTTAAATAGTATCACTGACCATATTTGGCTGTGAGACGTGGGCATAGCCGGCCGGACTGGCAAATAAAATACCCCCATCGGGTTGGTGTTACTATTGAAATTATATCGTGTACTTTGTATAGGCTTTTTTAAATTAAAATTGACTCTCGTTTTTGTCAATAGCTTTAAGAAAATAAATAAATAAATAAATACAAAATTTGAGGTCTCTGCCATCAATAGTGTCCAAAATATAGGAGAATTTAAAAAATCACTATATCTTCAGGTCCGATTTGCCACGCCCCCAATGGGCATAGACTTATAATTTATCTTCAGACCTTATAGATTTATACCATTAGCTGACGTGCGAAATTTCAGCATTCTAGGTTTACAACTTTAGGAGACACAGTTTTATCCGATTTGCCACGCCCCCAATGGGCGTAGATATATCCGCCATAGCTCGTGATCTTGGGTGGTCAACGCGGACCTACATACCAAATTTCAGCTTTCTAGCTCTTCAACAAAAATGATTTCTGGTATATCGGAAAATGCATTTTCCGATTTGCCACGCCCCTAGTGGGAGGATCGGGAAAATTTTAGCACTTTATAAATCGGAGATATACACAAGTATGTGTTCCAAATTTCAAGTCTCTAGCTTCAATAGCGCCGAAATAGATTGCGTTCATACGGACAGACGGACAGACGGACGGACGGACAGACGGACAGACAGACGGGCAGCAAGACGGACATTGCACAAAACCAATATACTGATTCACTTTCGTGAATGAGTATAACAAGTAAGAAAGCTCTAGTTAAGATAACTTTTCTTGTTGATGAACAGAGTTCACTATATAATATTATAACATTAGTCATTAATATAACATTAAAGTGCGTGTATATGCCAAAGCACTAGTCTTTAGTATTTGAAATACGCATTTTACAAAGGTGATGATGAGGGGGTGGATATAGGGGCGGGGGATAAATTTCAAGAAAACAAAAATGGAAATTATTTAAAATACATATAAGTCCAAGTCTCAGGACGACGAGCTGAGTTGATATAGCCCTGTCCGTCCGTCCACCCGTCCGTCCGTATGAGCAAAAGGATCTCAGAAGATATAAGAGCTAGAGATCTGAAATTTGGCATGCATACTCGTGTGTACCATAGGCAGTACGACTTTATCATATGTTTTCGATAACTCATCCGATAACTTTTTTATCAAGACTAATTGAAAACAAGTAAGAACGTTGTAGTCGGGCGTTACCGACTGCGGAATACTCATTCACATCCCACCAACAATTTAGTAGTTAAGTTTCGCTCTAATACTGTAGAATATACAGGTTTTTCCGATTTGCCACGCCCCAACTGGGCGTAGACACCTCATTTTTGGTCAGTTTTTAGAAAGAGATAAAGGTACCCTAACTGCAAAGTTTGAATGCTTACCCTCAAAAAATGTGAAAATTACAGGGTATTTTTCGATATGCCACGCCCCTAAAGAGGCGTAAAAATTATTTTTGGGGAATCGATAGAGGAGGTTACTGGTAACTTAACTATCTAAATTGGAACCTTTTAGCTATTATACTTTAGGAGATATAAACTTTTGCGGTTTGCCACGCCCCCTGTGGGCGGACATATATCCGACAAAACTTTTTGTCTTGGGTGATCAGCCCGAGTATATATACAAAATTTGAGGTCTCTGCCATCAATAGTGTCCAAAATATAGGAGAATTTAAAAAATCACTATATCTTCAGGTCCGATTTGCCACGCCCCCAATGGGCGTAGACTTATAATTTATCTTCAGACCTTATAGAATTATACCATTAGCTGACGTGCAAAATTTCAGCATTCTAGGTTTACAACTTTAGGAGATACAGTTTTATCCGATTTGCCACGCCCCCAATGGGCGTAGATATATCCGCCATAGCTCGTGATCTAGGGTGGTCGACACGGACCTACATACCAAATTTCAGCTTTCTAGCTCTTCAACAAACATGATTTCTGGTATATCGGAAAATGCATTTTCCGATTTGCCACGCCCCTAGTGGGCGGATCGGGAAAATTTTAACATTTTATAAATCGGAGATATACACGAGTATGTGTTCCAAATTTCAAGTCTCTAGGTTCAATAGCGCCGAAATAGATTGCGTTCATACGGACAGACGGACAGACGGACGAACAGAAAGACGGACATTGCACAAAACCAATATACTGATTCACTTTCGTGAATGAGTATAAATAGACTTGGTTTTTCAAGCCTAATTTGAACACTTTTAGACCTGGAGACTTCAAATTTGCGTTGTATATAAAGTTAATGGATACAAAGATTTTGTAATTTACAGATTTTGGATACCACGCCCCCTTCGCCCCCAATTTGTGAAAAACGCATTTCAAGTACTAGAGACTTGGACTTTGGAATGTACACACATTTTAACCATTTGATTACGCTCTGAAATAAATTCTCATAATATTGCCCACATTGCAGCGCAACCCTCACGCAGCCGCTGCTTACTGCGCAGTTAGCAGAGCGCGTGCTTATAAGTTCATGTGTATGTATGTGTGCATACAAGAAGTGCAGAATGATTAGAATATCAGCTTGGAGGGTTCAGGGTATCTCCTAGTAGAGCAGTCTCGACTGGAGCCTTTTTACTTGTTATTTCCCGTTTTTAGATGCGCCTATCTAATATTTCCCACAAATGTTCAATTGGTTTTAGGTCTAAAGATTGTGGTGGAAGTGGCTCATTGGCGGTATTATACGCCAGTCTCATTTTGACGTTATGAGCAAATTACTTGGGGTTGTTGTCATGTTGAAATGTGAACGAGAATTGTAGTTTTAGTCTTTCTTACTAAATATTGAGATGCAAATGTTTGTTACCAACTCGCCCACAGATGCAGCAGACATGCAACCCCAGACCAGTGCTGTCATAATTTTTCGAGCAAATAGAGCCAGATTGGCAAAAAAGAAGCTAAAGAAGCTCAATTTAAGTAAAAATAAGCCAAAATAAAAGCTGGGTTTAAAAACACTATTTTCTTAATTAAATTTATTTATGATTATTCATTTGTTTTTAATTGTTTGATTCCTTCAACTATAGACAAGGAATCTCCACTTTCAAGAGAAATATTAAAATCAGGAACGTCGAAATCATTATTCCACTCTCAACAGAGACGTATTTAATAACGATACCACAAACCATTAACGTAGAAATTATAGATATACATGCATATACATATGTACAAATTATAAAATATTCAACCTTTTAAAGAGAGGTCAGGTGTTTAATAAATAATTGTTATTTACCGAGCCGCTTTGTCACTTGACTTGTCCAAAACCAAAATAAATTTAACGCTTCCAATCTTATTTCTAAGATCCTCCAAAAAATGAGGAGCCAACGAATGTTTAATTATGTTGTACATTTAATACGGCGTAGTTTAAATTGCTAAACGCTCATGCTGTCGCATAATTTTGTTTGGCAGAGAATACCTAGGTTGTTGATGGGAGTAATTAATGTGTGATTTGCCACATAGAGGAAATGTGCTGTTCGTTGTTGCTGTGGTTTTTTTTAGAGTTTGCCCAAAATCAATTTTTTCTTTCTGTGCCCATCCAATTCGTGCACATTAGTGTTTTTTTGTTGACAAACAAGACCTGTTGCTCGATACTTGTATTCATGATTTTTAGTGTTGACAGCGATAAAAACAAAATAAATCAAAATAAATAAAGGAAAATTAAATAAAGCTAAAATAGAGCTAAATTAATTTATTTATAGCCAGAATTCCCGCAGCCCGCCGTTTTCGAATTTTTCCCGCAATTGGACTTCAAATAAAGCCAGATCTGACGGGAAAAAAGCTGAAATGACAGCCCTGTCCCAGACCATCACCCCAAAACCAGTATGCTTAACTCTTGGCTTAATATTGTTTTTGTCAAATGCATTATTCGGCTTTCTTCAAACCGATTGGAGTCCATCCGATCGAAATATATTGAATTTCCACTCATCACAGCACAACACATGAGTCCAGTAATCAGATGGCTTGCTAACATATCCCTTAGTCCAAACGCTTGTTTTTATTACCATCTGTGATGCACGGGTTTCGTCTGTATTCGGCCTTGTGCAGTATTCGGTGTATCGTAATTGGGTGCACATCCTGCCCTATTTCATTTTAACCTCAGCAGCAATTTGTATTGATGTTATTTTGGGATTTACCTTTCTAACGATTTTCCTGCATTCATGGCTGTTCAACAACTTTTGACGATCTGTATGTTTTGGACTTTGCAGGTTGCAGGTTGAAGTGCTGCAGGTGCTTCGAATAGTGAATCGGCTTCTTTCGATTATCTCTCCAATTTCTGCATAAAATTTGCGTTGATCTTGGAAATGCAAGATAGTTTTCCTCTGAGCTACCGATGTTTAACTTAGGTGTCATTATTAAGCAAAGCCAAAAAATATGCTCAATTATTACAAAATTTTCTATATTAGAATTCAAATTTTCGAAGTTTCTATAAAGGTGAAAAGCTTACTCTACAAATAATCAAGTGCGTCACTGTATGTATGTATATCCTCCATATCTTTATACTCATTCACGAAAGTGAATTATTATACTCATTCACGAAAGTGAATTATTATACTCATTCACGAAAGTGAATTAGTATATTGGTTTTGTGCAATGTCCGTCTTGCTGTCCGTCCGTCTGTCCGTATGAACGCAATCTATTTCGGCGCTATTGAAGCTAGAGACTTGAAATTTGGAACACATACTTGTGTATATCTCCGATTTATAAAGTGTTAAAATTTTCCCGATCCGCCCACTAGGGGCGGGGCAAATCGGAAAATGCATTTTCCGATATGCCAGAATTCATATTAGTTGAAGATCTGAAATTTGGTATGTAGGTCCGTGTCGACCACCCTAGATCACGAGCTATGGCGGATATATCTCCGCCCATTGGGGGCGTGGCAAATCGGATAAAACTGTATCTCCAAGAGTTTTACAGCTAGAGCGCTGTAATTTCGCACGTCAGCTAATGCTATGATTCTTTAAAGTCTAAAGAGAACATTATAAGTCTACGCCCAGGGGGGCGTGGCAAGTCGGACCTGAAGATATAGTGATTTATTAAATTCTGCTATATTTTGGACACTATTGATGGCAGATACCTCAAATTTTGTATATATACTCGGGCTGATCACCCAAGACAAAAAGTTTTGTCGGATATATGTCCGCCCACAGGGGGCGTGGCAAACCGCAAAAGTTTATATCTCCTAAAGTATAATAGCTAAAAGGTTCCAATTTAGATAGTTAAGTTACCAATAACCTCCTCTATCGATTCCCCAAAAATAATTTTTACGCCTCTTTAGGGGCGTGGCATATCGAAAAATACCCTGTAATTTTCACATTTTTTGAGGGTAAGCATTCAAACTTTGCAGTTAGGGTACCGTTATCACGTTCTAAGAACTGACCAAAAATGAGGTCTCTACGTCCAGTAGGGGCGTGGCAAATCGGAAAAAAACTGTATTTTCTACAGTATTATTTAATGTTCAGTCTAGTGCTTCCAATGCGCGTTTGTGCGCCATTGTGCATTCGTCCCGTATGATAATTGTTGATGCTACTAAAACTTTGGCCATTGCGGAGTGATTTGAAATGTTACATGTCGGTTGTTCAGTAGCTTGAAGATTTAATGGGAAAGATTACATCTTCTAGGACGCGGCATTTTTATTAATAGTAATACTGAATATGCCCTCGCACAAAACCACATAAAACAATCGAGAAATATAAATATAAAAAATTTTCACAAATTTATGTTTGAGACAAACAAATACCTGAACTTTCGAGATATTTAGCTTCTGTACGCACGCGTATTACGCGTAGAAGAATACACTGATTTTCGATAATAATGGGATGCGTTATTGATTTTTGGTGATAAGCTCGATATCGACATTTAAAGAAAAATTTGAAGTCTCTAGCTCTTATATCTTCGGAAATCGACGCGGACAGACAGACGGACAGGGCCAAATCGACTCTGCTTGTCGCCCTGACCAAGAATATATATACTTTATGGGGTCTGCCACGCCTCCTTCTGCCTGTTACATACATTTCAACAAAAACATTATACCCTGATTTCCCATTTTCAATGGGTTCAGGGTATAAAAATTATAATTTTTCCAATAATGTTTAATATTGCCAAATCGCTATGTCAACATTATTTAGTAGTGTCCAAATCGATTGTGGATTTAACATTTAACTAACAGCTAAAATTACCTTCATAATATTCAGTCAATAGCAAATGCAAATGACCGAGTTTACAGTAGGTTTCTATATCAACTTCTCCAACTCCAATATTTCCCTTAGGTTTGAAGTCACTTGGCAATGCAAGTTTCGAATCACAAGCATGGGATTCTATGCCAGAGTTTTCCTTAATATGTTCCTCATATTTAACAGCTACATCACATTTTACATTGGCATGTTGTAAATCACGTTGCTTGCTCATATTTATTGAATGAGAGCTAGCCACTTCATCTTGCAAGATTGTAATGGATTGTTGAATAAGATCTTTAATTCCATTATTCTTAGGATCCGTCAAATTAAGGAAACCATAATATCGGCTAAAATTTTTAAAAGGTTATTGCTTTTTTTATACATTTAAAAATATTTAAATTACCTATCTAACTCTTGAACTATATAAAGATCATCAATAGAGTTTAGAAACATTTTGCATTTTGCAGTAACGGCAAAAATATGGTTGATCAACGAAATTTGACTTTTCTTCCCAATAATATGTTTATGTCAATTTAATTGTTCACTCGTTCATGAACTACAAGTTCAATCCAATTACTCCGTTGTTTATCAACTTTAAATGAGGGTATTCCTCTCATCTTACTTTTATTAATATGTTCGTAGATAATTATTTATTGAAATAATTTGGTAAAAAAAAGTTAATTTTGTTTTAAAATTGGATGGTTTTTTTTATAACATTGAAAAGCCCGCATATTATTCAGTCGACATACGAAAGTTAAATTTTAGATTGAAAAAATTGATATACCAATAATTCTTCGCTGCTCTATTGTATAAATGGCAAACGCACTAATAAGCACTAGGTGGAATACGAACTTCAAAATTTTTTAAAGAATAAAGTGGATTTAGGACCGCTATCCAAAATATAAAAAACGCAAAACATTTTTGAAATTCTTGTACCGTAGATGGACGAGATGTAATATGAGATATGAGAACTGCAACGCTTTCATACCCTTCGCACAAATAATAACGAAAACGGAAACATTTTGCAAGATTACACATTTGTTCAACATTTGACCATCTCGGTCGAGCGCATGAAGCGAAATGATTGTGCTTTATTGTAATTTCGTAGCTCGAACCTAAAAGTGAAGAGCCGAGCAAATACGAACTGGTCTGTGTCCGGTCTATGTGCTCTCTGGTTAGTCATAGGAAAGAGCTAGGATTGTCGCGAACAATTATCAATTTTTGTGCGCTGCTGCTATTTAAGAGACCATAGAGAGAGAGAGAGCACAAAGAGAGGGAGAGAGAGTGAGGGAAAAATAGCGCATAGCCGCACATCATATGGAAATCTCTTCATTTCGTGCCAACGCTCGCAGCGCACTGATTTTGTCATGCCTTATTTTCACTGCTTGAGCCTCAGAAGACCGAACCGAGTAAATACGAAGTTGTCTGGTCTCTTCAGCGCATTTTTTCGTCGTAGAAAAAAAGTGTACTACATGTCTCGTCTATGTGAACTCTGGTTAGGGACTAAATTAAATGAATGTGATGCACTCGACAATCACCACCGCAGAACTTATGCAAATGTATGAATGCCTTCACAAGACCGATTAACGGCAGATTGCATAGGCGGCAAGAGTAGATATAAAGGTATCTAAATGCTTATTTGAATAGCAAGGAGCTGTAAGTGAGTTCATGACTTTTCTCATGACAACGAAAAGAGTATAGCAAAGGTTTTCAAGTGTTCTATATACTCTTTGCACATAAGGGAAAAATTGGAATCGCCGCGAATAAATAAAAATTTTTGTAAGCTGATGCTTGCTTGTGAATACGTCATAGAGATAGTGTGTGTGTGAGAGAGAGAGGGAGAGAGAGAGAGAAAAGCGAAAAAAGGACAAAAGCCTGTCAAGAATTTCATTTTCAAAAATGAATGAAAAACTGCTACTAAAAACATTATAAAGCTTTGGAATTCTAAAAAAAATAAAGCTGAATACCTGATTAAGAAAGCAGGACTGTAAAAGCTTTTACTGAGCTAAGCGACTCTCAAAGCCATGTGATATGCCAAGCGAAATATTCCTTTCCGAGAAAATACGAAGATGAGCTTTATTATGTATGTGCTGTAAGTTAGTTATACAAATCAAACACTGGGACATAATTAGTAGGTACGGACAAAATTAATTTTAGTTTAATAAAATTTCGAACAAATTCAATTCATATCTCATATCTCAAGTTTCCAGAGTTATTTTCTTACTTTCACAAACTTTTCGTATACAAGCTTTTATAAAAATTTTTAAATTAGCAGATACAAAAAAATACCTTAAAGAAAATTTCTTTTGCAAATATGATATAAATTATAGTATATTATATTACAAGATTACATATCCCATATATGAAATACGTATGACATTCTTCGATAATATCTAGTGTGTAAACCTTAAATCATTGAACATTAACATAATCAAAGAATACCACTGCAATTGAATATCTTCTTTTTTGTATTGATTCCATGCGTTTCGATGTGGAATCATAGATTTAAGTTCTTTTACTGTGTGCTACCGTTGTTTTGATTTTTTAAAAGGAGAAAGTAAAATTTACGGAAGTAATGTAAGTGAATCTTATCGTAAAATTAATGAAGTGTATGAACTATGTAATTAGATATATATAATAATTATATAATACATACATGTGCAATGTATTACCTTGCAAGCGGTCTTAGATATTATATATATATATATATATACATATGCATATATATATATATATATATGTGTGTGTGTGTGTGTGTGTATGTGTGGGTGTGCGTGTGTTCACAAGCATTACATTATGCATATGTTTATACATACATACATATATATATTTATAAATCATGAGACGCTCACGTATTTAACATAAAAACAAATGATATTAAGTATAAGTTTTTTCTAAAGTTTTACAAGAAATGTAAAATATGTTTACATTGCGTGTTTGCGTATACACATATGTATGTATGTATGTACGTATAAATTCGTGTATTTTTTTTCTTTGTAAGTGCATTAAGCGATATTAATTGTGCTTGACTTTATTCAAACATAGATACGTAAAATTAGAATAATAGTCCTATATAAAAAACTATCAACTACGTGTAAAAAATGTTAACCAGGAAACAATTGTTGAAATACCCTGTAAGAAACTGATCATACATACATATGTATATACATATGTATGTATTTAAAAATCCAAATCCAATATACACTGTGCAACTAAAGTCACCGTACCGCTGATAAATTTTCATGAAACACGCTATAACTTCTTAAACAAAAGTTTTGATGAAGGGTAACAAAATAAATTTTTCACTACAAAATACCATTTAAATAATAGCAATATTTTATTTTAGTCTAGTACTATAACTAAAAGTCTAAAAATATTCACGTATTTTCCCTCAAAAAGCCACCGTACTCTTGCTTGCGTCGCACTGTCTGGCGCCAAAGTTCTTTTGAAACATAACGGGAATTTTTGAAACGTGTGCAATATCTTAAAATTATGCGTTTGCTAGCGTGCATTATTTGTTTTGACAAAATTAGCTAATTTAAATGCCCCGTAAAGAGCTAGCTTTAGAAGAACTTGGACTGATAATTCATAATTCATTCACGAAGGGGCAAAAGTCGTATGCAGAGATAGCTAAACTAATGTCCGGAGCCAAGCCAACTATTCAAGCAATGATTGGCCGTTTTAAATAAGAGGGGCATATTAAAAATAATATTCGATCTGGCCGATCATCTGCACTTACTGAGCAAGACAAGTGCCAAATAAAACACAATGCAGCTATGCAACTCCAGCACCGCCGTGACTTACCGTCAGATAAAGAAGTATATCCTTTCTACGTGAATGGTGCCCTTCCAAACAAATATTGTAGTTTGACTCATCTGAGTTCGTATGATTTCATAGCCCAATGAACTAGTTTCGAGTTTCCATACTTTTGAGCATTGTTGCTTGTATTTTATGTAATACGTAGAACGCTAGAAAATGTGTCCTTGTCCTTCAAATGCTTTATTTGGCACTTGTCGCGGACTGAATGTGCTTGTAAGCCAGATCAAGTATTATTTTTTTATAGCCCCCATTTATAAAAGGGTCACTTACAGTATCTAAACGTTTTTTGACGCAAATATTTCACCCATTGAAAAATTGTATTCGGAGTATAATGTTTCTGTAAAAGTGTTTGCATAATGTATGTATATATTTCGAGATAGTTCTATTCGTCCGTCCGTCTGTGGAAAATCTAATGCCGGTTTTCAGACAGGTTATAGAAATGCGGAACAGCAGTTTTAAACATGGTGTTATAGTCCTATGCGTTCATGCGTGAAGTGCTGTAGTAAGATATTGCTACCTAAACCAATGCCACACCTCCCCTCCGCCGCAGCGGCTTGGCAGCCGTTCCAAATAATGTTGTTCTATGAGTAGGTCATGGAAATAATAATTATAGCCATCAGTTCCTTCCAAATTAAATTTTTCTCATCAAAAAAGGCAACATGCTGCCATTGGGTAGACCACGTGTGTTCGCCCGGGTAAAATTAATGCGTATTTCTTTTCTTTTAAGCAAATTTATGGTAGCATAGTCCAGATTCAAAGTATGTCTCAATTTTTGATTTTCAACCAAAGATAAAACGGTTTCTTTACCCATACTATACATATATTGAATACTTTAAGCTTTACAAAAAATTTGGTGAGTGTAATTGCCAAAATAACAAGATAATTACAATTGCATTTGGGTGCGCTATTCTGATGTCGCAAAATAAGTGCACGCATTCTTTGCGAAAATAAAGAAGAATAGAAAATAAAACATAATGTGTTTTGAGTCGCGCTTTTTATTGGTATGAAAGACATCTCATATGATAATGAAATCAAAACAAAAGCTAAGAAGTTGCGTGCAACAGGCAAAGAGAAAAACGTAAAAGAAAATGAGTGTCAGGGGGGGCGCTAACCTGATGACGCGCAGTGTACATTCTTAATCAGCGCGACGAGCTGAGTCGATTTGGCGCTGTCTGTCTGTCTATCCGTGCGTCGAGTTCAGAAGATATAAGAGCTATAGACTTCAAATTTGTTTTTTAAATGTCCGTATATTTAACGAGGATATCGAGTCTATCACCAAAAGTCGATAACTCATCCCGTTACTTATTATCGATTAAAAACCTTATCGAAAGTCAGTTATAAAATTATATCCTACATCTCTAAAGCTAGAGTCCAAATTTTATATGTATACTTATATGAGTTTTATACAATTTCGGTTTTTGTTAAAATTTACCCCCCACCCCTATATCCAACCCCACACCCACATATTTGTAAAAGACGTATTTCAAATACTAGAGACTTGTGCTTTGGCAAATGCATGCATATCCATGATATAATCATAATCTGAAAGTTTCATGAAGATCGTATGTTCACAAGTATAAGTATACATAAACAAGTAAGAACGTTGCAGTCGGGCGATACCGATTGCAGAAGACTCATTCACAGCCCAAACGCTGTCAACCAGAGTATATAGTGCAATTTTCAAGTCTAGTGCGCAACAAAAAACAGGGCATGATCCCATTAAAATTGGAAAATC